CTTACTTCATCTTTAACAAAAAGACATTTAAAGATTCATCATTACTTTAGAATTCATGTGAAAGGCTTTGTATCTCAAAAAATTACCTGATAGAATAAAACACCTTGTGCACTTAATGGTTAATCTATGTTCTGTTTTTCCTTTTTTTAAATTTTATAATGCCAAACATTTACAATAAAATACAAAATATTTTAAGAGAAAACTTGTTCCATGCAGAAGGTAGAGGGCAATACAGATGTTTAGGAGAGGGAATAGATGGAGGTGGAAGCTCATGTGGAGCATTACACATGTTAGTTGGGCTGAATGCCCTGTTTCTTTGCTGTATTATATATATAATTTAGATTTATATCGTACCTTTTACATTGGGAGGCCATTCCAAAGCACTTAACAGAACTGCCTGAGCACTTGTGTCATTCATACTGATATTAACTAATAAGAAAACTTGTTTTTGCCAAAATTCTTCTCAATAAAAGCTTCAAAGACAGTTTTCCTTCTATTGTCCAGGCACCAGACTAAAACAACTTTTATTCATCATGCGTGCGCATTTTTGGGGATGTTGTTAGGTTATTCGGAGGTAGATGGATACAGTCTTTTTTCCAATGTAAACGTATGCTTGCCTTCATCACACGCTAATGAATATCATTCATGAGCAAGAATTCAGTCTGATATTATGCTTTAGCCCTGAGGTCCTGAGGTCAATTGTAGCATCATAACTTTTCCCCTGACTGCGATTAGGTAAACCAGCAGAAGGCGGGATTCAACCCTATGACATACAAGCCTGTATCTGTGCGCAATTGGCTGCCGCATTTCGCCCACAAAATATACAGTCATTTCACTTTGACAGTGTATTCTGTGAAGTGCTTTGAGGTATGTCGAAGATGTGATAAGGCACTATATCAAATCCAAGTATTATTATTGGATTAATGCTTCACCAGGCAATACCTCTTCTGACTAGGTCATTGGTAGAGCTCTAACTGTAAATGTCTTTTTTTAGATTATGAGATTCACAATACTTGGAATAGGTGGTTACTTGTATCATTTAGCGAGTTTCCTTGTTAAAATTGGCACAAAGTAGGATCTATTATATTCAAAGCAACTAATTGGAACAGTGTTTTGTAGACTAATAGATTCTGTTGGGTCATTTGCCCAGACCATATTTACTGAGAGATGCGGACAAGTGGAAATGGCAAAATGTTCTTTCTCATGCTATGAACAAAATGCAATGTTACACTCTGATCACCCCATAGCACAGCATAGTCCAGAGCAGTCTGTTAAATAAGGTATAGATGCTTGTTTTTAGATGGTTTCAGACTCAGCTGTTATTTAACTACCCCATTCTCACACCACATTGTCAAATAATCCACAGCCACTAACGTTGTGGATTCAGGAATCAAGAATCGCCACCAGAAAGGTTTCTGGTTCGTAAGAAACTATAGCAACTCAAATCACTTCCTGCAGAAGACCAAAGAAATTGAGTTGGGGAAGGAAAAATCTGGGACTGTAATTAATAATAATAAATAGTAATCCTTGCATTTGATATAGCGCCTTATCACATCTTCAAGATATCTCAAAGCTCTTCACAGAATATACTGCAAAGTAAATTTACTGTATATTTTGTGGGAGAAACAAGTATCATTGGAATAAATTATGTGTCACATTCTTGTTTCTGAAAGGGAGCACAGATTTCAGTGCTAACATGAAAGATGTGCAATTAAATCATAGATTGTGTTTGCCAGTGAAATAAGGTGCTTTGTTGCTGAAGGGAAGTGGTTATTATAAAGTACATTTGAGGAACGAACTAGATTCACTGACCTGATCCGAACAGTATTCTACAAGTAGCTTACAAATACCCTGGTCTGAAATTTCTTACTGCTTATTATATTTGGGCTTTTCAATTAAAAAAAAGCTTTCCTTTTTTTAATCTCCTATTCATCTTCAATTGAAGATCTAGGCTCCCCTTAGCAACATGTTACCAGGCAATAATGAAGTGAGTCTAGGACCAGAGAGGGTTTGGATGAAGGACGATCAAACATACAAATCAATATTTTCAAGTGCAAGCCCAGAACGGGGGAGGAAGTGAAAGGGTTAGGGAATTAGATCCTCAGCTCCAAGACTTAAAGATCATGATGTATAAGTCAGGAAGTCAAATCCTTTGGGCTTGGGTTCTCATCTACCACCAGCCCATTCACTGTGACAAATATCCCTATCTTTCCCACATATTCGATTGCAGATTCTTGACAAATCTACTTGACAATGTCCCTTTGTCAGCCTAGTGTAATATGGTGCACTTTTCAAAAGTTGCATCAGCATAATATAACCATTAAATCTACTTGACCTTTTCTAAATGATTAAAACAAAATGTCCTTACTTGTGAGGTGACATGATCCATGTCTTTTTACAAGTGCTTGCAGGTATTGATAATGTCAGTGTAAGGAAACCATTTTTACTCAGATTGACAGCACAGCATTCATTTTAAAAAAACTCAAGCGTGTCTTCAGATTGGAACAATCCCGATTCTTCTCCTCCCTCCCCCCCCCCCCCGTCGTTGGTGCAGGGGAGTGGGGTAGAGGGAGAAAGAAAGAAATATAGACTAGATATTCCTAGAGAAAGCATTCATTGCAGTGTCAGTTGAGTTTTAGAAAAGATCTGCGCACATCGGTTTAGGAATTGATGAATGGAGAGGCAGAAGGATAATTGCAGATGGAGATGATTGAATGCCATGGAATACAATGTTTCCTGTGGTAATGGGACTATGGAAATGTCATATCAACGAAGGCAATAGATCAAGGGTTGACGTCTTGTTTGATATTGTAAAGTTTTGTTCAATTTAGCTTTTAGGAGGGGGTGTGGGTTGTTTCTTATCCCTTTTTTTGTGTCTACATATACTTAAGACGCATTCATCTACGAAATACATAGTCACTATATTTTACAGCATATCCTGTGAAGCGCTTTGAGACATTCTCCCAACATGAAAGGGCGCTGCACAAAATGTAACGATTATTATTATCATGACCATGTCAGGATAACCACAATTCTAGTGAATCAAGGCAGTGATGATGATACTGAACTTTTCTAATGTACCAATACTACTACTAATAATAATAATCCTTACATTTGATATAGCTCCTTATCACGTCTTTGTGATAAGCGCTCTGAGACGCCATCCAGTGTGGAGGGCGTTATATAAATCCAAGTTGTGTTGTTGTCTTTGAAACGTCTCAAAGCGCTTCATAGAATATACTGTAAAGTGAATTGACTGTATATTTTTTTGGGTGGAACACGGCAGCCAATTGCGCAGAATAGTGTCCCACAAACAGTCGTGGATTGAGTGACTAAATTATTATTATTACTTTCTTTTGAAGGGAATATTATCCCCAGAAACGCAATCCACCCAACAACTATATTGGCAATACACTAAAATGCGTTTTAGTATATTAGAACAATTTGTTCAACGGGATCAGGCATCAGAGCTAAATGAAGGCGTTGAGGGAATTTAAACAGGAGAAAAGATTCAGGAGTGAGGTCTTAGTACAAAGTTTCCAGGTTAGAAAGGGCCTAGATCAGTAGGACTCCAATAATATTTTGATATGTCCCAGAGTACACAACAAGAGGTTTCAAGTTCAGAAAGGTGTAGGTGGGAAGGAATTTGGCACTGTAAATGTTGAATATGTAGAAAATTTGTGCAGAGAGGCAGTGAATGTGGATGGTTCTGATTGGAAGGGGAATATGTTGCAATCTGAATTGGGGATGATTTGTATGAAAAATTATAAGCAACGATAATTTAGAAAATAGAATCACCAAATCGGCTGTACTGGTCTGTCCTTTATTCCTGCGACATTCATTGACCATTTAAAACCTCCAAGTAAAATTTGCAGCCCATGGTCGGACACAAAATATACAGTCAATTCACTTTACAGTATATTCTGTGAAGTGCTTTGAGACATCACAAAGACGTGATAAGCCGCTATATCAAATGCAAAGATTGTTTATGTCATTTTTAATCAGACTCAATGGGCCAGTTTTGGATCTTATGCCATTCTTATTCATGAAGTACAAGAAGCCAAGCCTCAAGCATTGGACTTCTGACATCATAGCCTTTGAATGCTGGTTAGCAGAACACCTGCTTTTTGGAGCTCTCATGTTATATTACCTGGTTGCGGTCTTTACAGCTAATGAGCATTGGATATAACTGAAGATCAGAGCAGCTGGTTTTGCACACCATTTGGTAGTTGCAAATGTAAAAGCTTCCTCTGTAGAATGCACTCACTTAATGGTTATGCAAAGTAATGGACCTGCTTCCCGTCAATGATTTTTCATTCTGCTAAGTGTGGACAATGTCGTAAAGTAGTTAATCGAGAAGCAAACAAATGATTTCCATCAGTATATACAGACAGCATTCTGCTTATTTTGACACTGCAGATTTAAATCTACACATCCCTAGCCTGCCTGATGTGGACAGATTTATGCGATGTCGTGATGGTGGTTTCTTACTGTGAGCAATATCAATGCCATAGTAACTTAAAACCAGTCAACCAAATTTCAATCATATTTCGTAAATGCTTCCTTCTACAAATACTTTTTAAATGACTGCACTGAATAGCTCTGAGTTCATCTGTAATGTAATGTTGTCCCCAAATGTTGGCATAAGACAGTCCTCCGGGACATTGACCAGCCAGCCTGGCTCATCAGCAGGACATGGAGGGCACACAAGTTACTAGGGACTCTTCCCACTTGATTCCTATTAACCCTGCTGGCTAAACAATCAGCTTGAGTCAACGACGAGACTTTTATTAAAAAAAACGTAAAGTGATACTGCTGGTAAATAGCAGCAGTATCACTTTACTTTGTTTAAATTTCATATTGTTTTATGGTGATCCTGGCGTAAAATACAATGCAGCTTTCGGGTTGGAGGGAAAAAAGGAGATGCGTTGTCTAGTGCCACATCAAAGAAAATCCTTTCTCGCCGCCCCATTTAATAATCAAAACGACCCCATTGACAGGTGGACGACATCTTGGGCGAAGACAGTGACAATGAAAGTGAGAGTGAAAAGGAAGAGAGAATGGAGGAGAAGGAGCAGCCGCGGCCTAAGCAGGAGGAAAGGCAGCAGCAAGAACAGCAACAGCAGCATCAGCAAACCCCAGAAACTGGAGCAAGTGAAAAACCAGAGACCGAAATAGAAGCGCGGCCCAATTCTTCATCCAGTGAAGGAAGCTTGACAGGCAGCGTTCCCAGGTAGGCAGCTTTGATACTTTTTATGTAAGAATAGTTTTAATGGTTCTAACTCCAGGTGAGTTAGCAGTGTTGAATTCCCTATCAAGTCAACCTGTTGGACATTTACAAAACCATTGGGTTGATCGGAACTCTAAAGATGCAAATATTAGAGTACAACATGTTTGCACCTCTGACAGAAACACAAAGGAGTCAGAATGCATTAGGTCTCTTTTGCATGAATTTGCTTATTGCTTGAATTGCCATTATTTTTATAAAGATAATGGCAATTATCTTGTAGGACTACTATTAAAACCATTCATTCTTTTCCATTGTAGCAATTAAAATTCTCTTCTTGGATATTGAATTATTGCCACATAATTTTCAGCAAAGACACTTCCTTTCGGGTAGATCTAGTGCGGGACAAATCTGTCACCTGATGTAGTGATGTTGCTGACCCTGTGCATGTGGAATATAGTTAGGTAAAAAGTAGGTTGCAGTTCAGTCATTTGCAAACTGTTCATGTCCATATTTTAATCAAATTGTTTCAATTCAGGAACAACAGGATAGTAAGATATGGCACTTCTTGTTTTCTTGTAGGCCACATCATATTGCATTATAATAATAAGGGAGTAATGGGTTGGAATGCGGACCTTACAACTCAGACCAATGGACCATTGTTCAAGCCCAAGTGAGAAAGACTAACAAAACACTCCATTCTCTGTTGATGTTTGAGTCTTAAGTAAAATTAGTGTCAGCAATATGAATATTTCTGTAGAAGATGTGGAATGGATTGTTAACACAATCCAGTAGAATCATGCAGGTCAGGGGAACCTGTGAAAGATGGTGCTTTAGTTATCATTGTAGAATCTACTTAAATCTACTTAGAGCTTTTAAAACGGAGGAATTGCACTTTGAATTCTGTGCCCAGTTGCTGGCCATGCTTTTAACGTAGCTACTGACTATCAGCTCCATTCAGACTGGTAACCGCATTGAAACGGCTGCCACATTGTTGCTCGGGAAAACCAACCGCTGCTGTGCTTGGTTACAGATCACAGCTGAAAAAGTACAACTGAGACACATCTAATCTGTCATTCCTCCCACTGTAATCAGCTCTGTAGCCCCTGCGGATACAGCCTCAGAGTTGGACTCCTGTTAATTAGCCCCACTGACAATTTGCACAGTGTGAAAACGAGGGAACCAACAGAAAATGGGTCAGTTTGATGCTGACTGGCGTTGATTTGAGCAAGTCCCAAAGTTGGTATCATTGCAGTACCTCTCTTCTTTAATTAAAATGTACGCTTCAGAGCTTTTTTTTTATGGACTATTCTCCTTGGGGGGAGGGAAGCGGTGGGTGGGGGTGGAGGGGCTCCTCTTGGAGCTGAGGTGGCTCCAAGTTGAGATGTTTGGCAATAGAGTGTCAGAATCAAGTTGATCTCTGTGGCCGTCTTGGTCATCCAATACCTGAGCCAGACCATCCACAGAACTCCAGGGCACTGCTAATGACTCCCAGGCAGTCTGGCTCATCGGTAAAACTTGGAGGGGCAGACTGCTTATTGAGGGCAGGAATTCTTCCCGCAGGTGCTGTTAGCCCTGCACGTCAAAACCTTAATGGGAAAGCTGGTATAACCTGGACAAGTATCAGGAAGCTGGCATACTGTGCTTTCAATGGCAAGCTATGTGGTTTTAGCTGGTTAAACTCAGGAAACCCAACACACACTCTGGGCTCCACAACCCTTGGCTCTGGACAATCTGTGCTTAATACTCTTTGGAATTAGGTAATCAGAATGCGTCACTCCAGGACTGATTACATTCCAGAAAGAGGGACATTTTCATGTGGCATACATATGTAGAACTCTATCTGATTTGGATACTTTTAGGTTGTTTCAGACACCCGGCTGACCAAAAAAAAGTTTTGAAGATGGATGCAAAAAAAAACTTTAATTTCATGAAGTCTATATAACTTTTTTACAGGTTTTTTTTTGCATGTTTGTGATCTTTATCCTTCTCTTTCCTTTTGCCCTCACCTCCAAAACCTAACCCTTAAGGGTATCTGCAGAATCTATCAGACAATTGGGATAAGGTTGGGATTGAAGTTGGGAGGAAATTAGGTCACATCGCTCGGCCAGCAGTAGAAAAACTGAGTATAAAATGCAGGTACTAATCTATTGGGGGCAGTTTTTAACCAAATTAAGATCTGCAGNTTTTTATTTGACTTCCACAAGATGTGTCAAATAATAATAATAATTCTTGCATTTGATATAGCACATTATCGCAGATCAAAAAAATTCACAGAATATACTGCAAAGTGTAGTGACTGTGTATATTGTTGGCATTTTGAAACATTTGTAAAGAAGTAAATAGGTTTGTATTAAATTATATTGGATAGAATTAAAAGTAAAAGTGGTTTGAAAATTATAAAAATAGAAGAGAAGAATGATTGGGGAATAAAAGAAGAGGTGGCGAGCAGTAGTAAGGTGTTCAAATCGTGTTTAGGAATGTAGGATTAATATTTTAGTAATGATGATATTCTTTATATTTAGTATTCTAATATTGTTTCAACATCAAGCCAAAAAAATGGCTAGCCTAGAAAGACTGGGCTAAAGTGTAGTACGGAAGCTCAGAGCTATAGACCTGTACGTGAAGCCAGCTGTCACCTTTGAGGTGAAATAACAAGGAAACAGTTGTATCACTTGGTGACATTCAGGGTACATTCTATTAAGATTGCTTGTTGTAAGAGTACATGATGCCAGATACTTTACATTTTCATCTTTAGTTCTATGTGAGATGTGTTAAAATTCACTTAAAACTTTTTCCCCAAAATATTTTTCAAAATGTTACGGTAAGTGTTTCTTTCGTTTTTTGGATCATTATAATGCGCTCCTTTGAATTATTATGCCCCGTGTCTACTAATACCATTGAGTACAACAACAACAACAAAATTACATTTGTATAGCGCCTTTCACCTCGGGAGGACGTCCGAAGGCGCAGGACAATCAACGTTTTGGACCCGAGTTGGTAGATGGGATCGAGGAGGGTGGAGGGAAGGAGGGTGATTGAAAGCAAGTTCGAAGAGGAGTGTCTTCAGATGGGTCTTGAGGGAGGCAAGGGAGGGTGGAGGGACTGTGGAATAGAGTTCCAGAGGGGTGGAGCAGAGTGGCTGTAGGCCTGCCCACCATTCTGTCAGGACAGCACTGGTCCTGGATTCAAGGGTGGAGGCAGGGAGATAGAGTTGGGTGTCATCCGCATACTTGTGAATGTTGACCCCATGTCTGAGGATGATGTCACCAAGAGGGAGCATATAGATATTGAAGAGGAGGGAACCAAGTACAGAGCCCTAAGGAACGCTGCACAAGACGGTGCGGGGGTTAGAGGAGAAACCGTTTGTGGAGATGAAGTGGAGATGGTGTAAGAGGTAGGATCTGAACCCTTCAAGGACAGAACCAGGAAGGTTCAGGTGAGAGGAGAGGCGGTGGAGAAGGATAGAGTGGTCAACGGTATCGAAGGCAGCAAAGAGGTCAAGGAATATGAGGAGGCAGAGGGAGCCCTGGTCGCAAATTCCTAGTATCTGAAGTGCAGGCTATGTGTTCACTATCACTGTCCCCCTCTCTCCCTTTGTGTGTAGTTCACTTGATCTACATCTGCTTTTGTTCTGTCTCTTTGTTCTTTGTCTCTTCATCCGTCACTGTCTTTTCCCTTCTGTGTGTTACATTCTTTGACTCTCCCTTTTCTCCTTGTCCTTTTGTGATTTCTTCTTCCATCTCACATTACTCTCCTTGTATTTTCTCTTTCTGATTACTTACACTCTCCCCATTCTCTCTTTCTCTTCCTTCCTCCTGCCCTCACTATATTTACACTTGTTCCCCCTCCCCCCTCTCACTTTCTCTCCCACCACTTTCTGTGTTTTTGTGTGCGTGCGCGTATCTCTCACTCTCTCTCACTATAACTGGACTGTTTTCAACATTTTGGTTGAACAATACAATACATTTAAATAGTGCTTTCACGTCAGAAAGACATCGCTCAGCACTTAAAAATCATAACTTAATATCTGATCTGGGAGTGGGAGCTAAGTGGGGAGGGGAAAGATGACCAAAAGTGTGGTCAAAGAGGTGGATTTTGAGAAGAACCTTGAATGAAGTAAGGGAAGGAGCAAGTCAGAAGAACTCTGGGATGGAGTTCCAGAGAGTGGGGACAGTTAGGTTAAAAACCCAGCCACCTTAATACTTGTTTTAATGGAGGAGGAACAGTCTTGGTCTCCAGTACAGTTAGAGGTGTATTTTGCATTAATTTCTATAACTATTTGTATTTACTTTAGGACTTCAGGAGAACCTAGAACAGAGGCATGGAATAATTTTTGACATAGTCGTTCAGTCCAATACTCAGACAACAGTCTGTGTGTTTGGAATTTTATTTATTGCCACTCTGGCCTTCTTTGGAAAGCTCAGTTTGGGTTTCTTTCTTAGTCAAATAAGATAATCTTTGCATTCTTAATAGTGCTTTTCACATCAGGGGGATATCTCGAAACACTTCACTGGATTTGCTGCAAAGTGTAGTAACAGAATTGTATTGTGTATTTAGTAGGTGAATGCGACAGCCAGTTTGCACACAGCAATGTCCCACAAACAGCGATGGAGTGAATGACCAATTTTATCTGGGGGCTTGTTGGCCAGGACACCAGGAAAAATTTCCTTCTCTTTGTGAACAGTGCAATGTCCACCTGTAAACACAGACTTGGTTTAACGTCTCATCTGAAGGATGGCATCTCCAACAATGCATCATTCATCATCACTGCTTTGACATGTCAGCCCAGACAATGAACTCAAAATCCCAACATGAGAAATGGGGCTTGAATGCACAACATTGTGATTTGGAAGCAAGAGTGCTGCCAACTGAGCCAGGCTGACAATTGATGAGAGATAGATGATTAACTCAGATTCAATTGTTGATCAAAATCTCCACGTCTTCTTGAGTAAAATATTTGATGTGAAGAGAATTGTTTAATATATTTTGACAGTTGCGATTCA